AAGTTTTATTGCAGTTTGTGCTCGACTTTTATTATATTAATGCATTTCATTAATTTAATGTAACAATAATTTTTAAAAATTTGTTATAAAATGAAACGTATTTACGTATTTTATGAATAAAAATAAGGTCCAAATCTGTCAACAGAACTTAAAAATGAATAAAATAATCTTTAATTCGCTCCTTATTATTTTTCTCACGCATTTGCTATTATCAACTATCGATGCGAATTATAAACATCATGATGTACCTTCTAAAGAATGTAATAATGTTACTGCTATTCCTAAAGATGATTGTTGTCGTGATGGTGGTCTTGGAAGAAATCAAATGATGGATGGCAATAATTTATTACCTACCGATTTTTACATGAGAGTCGACAATATTACTGATACAAAAGAATGCTGTAAACGATGTTATGAAGAGCCTTCATGTGTTTATTATATTCATATTCTTGATTCAAATACATGTGATATATATGGTGATAGTATCCGTACATGTTTCCCTCTCTTTGAACCTCCACCATCTTCTAATGGTGATGAGGCTACCGGCATTATTGGTTGTAATTATTGTAGAGCATAAATTTTATTTATTTGACTAGAAAATAAATATACTGGCGGTTTTTCACTCGGATCCAACTAATAATTAGATATAGTCTTACCAATTATTGATAATATAGTATTTAATTAAAATTTAAAGGGATTTTGTATTTATTCATTTTTTAATAAAATAAAAGTTTTGAATAGAGTTATAAAATAAAGTTGATTATTCTTAAGTTTTTTATATAGTTAGCCTCAGTACTTAGCAGTTCTTTTAAACCCAGTTTCATACTCTTATTTTACATTATAACTGATATTATAAGCCAAATTTTTACGCGGCTCTCGGTCTCTATTCACTAAATCTATTATTTATATATATATATAAAGTTGGATAATGGTATAGATATGGAATCGGAATTGAAAAGGACAACGCCTTTAAAAATCTGTTGATATTGTTACACAAAATAACGTAGATAACAATTAAACTTTCTTTGTATCACCTTATAATAGTTTATGCAAAGTTTATAGTCGTAGAGTATACTTTAATTAGACTTTATATTGTTATACTACATGTATGTAAATAGTGTATAGCTTATTTAGAGTCTAATAGTAGATATAAATAGAGGGTCATAGAACATGGGTTAATTAGAGTAGTTTGATACTTAGTTTTTAGTCTTTGTGAGTTAGAGATTTGGATATTAGTAATTTGGATGGGTTAATAGTGTACCTGTTGGTGCCTTGTGTGTGTTAATAAATACTTGGTTTATTTCTTTTAATGCTTACGACCTAAGTTAAATTGGCTCAGTGGATATAAAGTCTCTCCCCTTGTCATAACAACATGAGTGATACTAGTAGAATACTTACAGTTGATTGTTATCGAAACAGGATTGGCAGCTACTACAGTACCTTAGAGTATAGATGGGTGCCTAAATTATTTTTGCATTGGCGTAAATTTAAATGGCTAAATTCTTTTAGATTGCCTAAATCGTAAATAATTTAGGTTGTATAAAATAATTCAGACTGTCAAAATATTTTAGGGTGTCTAAAATATTTTAATATGTTTAAAATATTTTAATATGTTTAAAATATTTTAGTATGTCTAAAATATTTTAGTATGTCTAAAATATTTTCGTTATTCCAAAATGTTTGAATAAAGAAAATCAAATACAGTTGTCCCTCATTAATATCAACCCTGTTAATATCAACCTAGGATATAAAATGAATTTCTATAGGTTGATATTAATGAGGGTCAACTGTATTTTAAATTTTAATAATATTTTATAATACTGAAACCGATATCTAATATATTAAAATCTCTGAAATTCTACAATATTCACAACTTGTATATTTGTCTACAGCGGAGCAGAATCACATGACAGTTGACCAATCAAATGATCTCTCCAGCATAGCCAACAAAAAATCTCAAGTACATAACAAGTTTATGTTAGGGTTAACTTTACTGTGTTAGCAGGGTATAGTAGTAAAATCGTCCAAAAAAGGTCTTTTGTAAGAGTTAAAGGTAATTGCTTATGAAGATTTTTGAGTTATGAGAAATTTTTGGTAAAACGAGCATTTGCTTTGACTTTCCTGATCATGTTATGTTACATCAAATAGAGATTAGCTATTGGTTAATTTTCTGTCAATCATTACATGCCCGAGATTTTTTGTTGGGAGTTCCAATCAAATTGATCAGATGGGTTAGTTGAAAATGTCAAGAAAGCAATTTTGCTTATACTGTATATGAGATCTGCCAAGGTAAAACCTGTAATTCTTGATTTTCGGAAATTTCACTTTTAAAAACAGACAAAATCAGATTCTTATATG